GCGCAATGCAGTGCAGGTAATTAAAAGCGGACGCAAAAGGGCTTCTGTAGTAAAGGGCAAAACAGTAGCACTGCGATGAAGGTGGACAGGTGGCGATGCGCTTTCAAAGGGCAGTTACGTAGAGTTATCATTAAGTCAATTTAAACCATAATAAGCACCTAAATAAACCATCAAATTACTTAACTATTGAATTGCTTTACTAAGCAACTATTATGTTATCAATAATTTAGTTTAACACGTTGGGTGCTGATGACGGGAATTCCCGCCATTGCTTAACATTGAAATAAATGCAATTTTCATGTTCAAACATGTCAACGGCACTTTAAGTGTTAACACAAAAACAATTAAACCTTTAGTTTTTTATACAGTGGCTTAGTAACTGACAAAATAGCACATACATGTTAATGCAACCAAACCACACTTAATTCTGGCTAGCTGTGTACTTATACGGCCAAAGTGAGTTATTCTAACAGTGGTTATTCTTCCTCCAATTGCGTGAATTTGTATTGTATTTTTAGGTTATCGAGGTTTCCATCCACTAAAAGTTATATTTTGGAAATTGCCAAAAAATATGCTAGAATGACCAATAATATAAAACAAATAAGTGAAGTAAAACCCCCAAAGTATATTTGACATTCGATGTATAATCAAACAAAACCTTTTCCAGACGTACATGATGGTTTGTCTCTGGCTCTATGATATTTGTTATACTTCTCGCTACATTTTTATTTAAAACTACTCTCCAAAATTCTCATAAAACTAGGAGAAGCTATGAATAAAACTATACAAATGAAAAAAAAATATGTATGAAAAAGCAAACTTTTGTGTAAGACACGGTAAAAATGGAGTAGGCTAAGGTGACTGAGTAAGGGTGAACAGAGTAATTTATACACTTTAAAATTCAATGAGCTGCACTCTCAATCTCGCACAGACACTTGCTATTTCTTGACATTCAATATCAGCTAAAAACACTGATTATATCATCAATATAATTAGATACATTTGAGCAGAAATAATGAACGCAAAGAGTTCATTCTGCTTCACTGGCTGTAATTTAATAATTTTGTCGATTCACTAAACTACTTTAAAAGCACTGATAAAAAAGGTAATTAAGTATCCTTTTAGTTTTAATATCCCCTTGTTTTAGTTTATTTAAAAGCATAAATTAATAATGAAGCTATGTTAATTTACTAAATTCAATTAGACGAGCGTTTCTTACACCATTGCACTATTCCCTGGCTTCACATAGCAATGTGAGTTATTTTCAATAATAGAATAAAAACGTCGTTTTAAGTTGTCTCAAATTAAAGGAAATTAAATTGCAAAAAAAGAAAATTTGTATCTAACTCACACGAAAATTATTTACGCATGTTAATGTGCTGCGATTTGTGCGCATGTTAAGGTTTGTGTTTGTTTGTTTACAAATCTTAGCTAAGGACACCTTTGCAGGTTTGCATTAATATCGACTTAAAAAAATCCAAACACCGACTTTAAATTTCTTGGTAAGAAACAGTAAGTTCATTGGATATTAAAGAGCAATTAAAAAGCCAGAGAGGGAATATAAGAAGAATAAACACTGTAAATATCATAATCATTGCAATCAGAAACAACAGTCAAATCTAATTTCACGGAAACCTTGAGGACAAAATATTCCATTCCGACCTTTGCTTTTTACCGGGCAACTCTCCTTGCAACCAAGGCGGGACACAAAAAGTAATAATTACTACAGAGAACTGAGAGAACCCATCCAGGAGCACTTAAAAATAATTGACGGTTTGTGAAAATAAATTAAGGTTAATGTAAATGACGGTTGGCATAATGCTGACTTCCACAGGAGATCTTGGAACTCTTGACTACTCGTTAGAGGTAAATCTTATAAGGAGTAACGTTTCACAAATATCCTCCTACAAAGAAAGTAATCCACCCCAGTAGTTTAAATAATAAGTCATCATGTTAAGTACTTTATTAAAAACCTGAATCATGATTCAACTATAGTAAAGTAAAATGTCAACATGGTTCAGAAACAAATTACCTGTCAGAACGGTTCACCAACAATTAAATTACCTGACAGAACGGTTCACCAACAATTAAATTACCTGACAGAATAGTTCACCGACAATTAAATTACCTGACGGAATAGTTCACCAACAATTAAATTGCCTGACAGAATAGTTCACCAACAATTAAATTATATGTCAGAACGGTTCACCAACAATTAAATTACCTGTCAGAATAGTTCACAAAAAATTAAATTACCTGACAGAATAGTTCACCAACAATTAAATTAACTGACAGAATAGTTCACCAACAATTAAATTACCTGTCAGAACGGTTCACCAACAATTAAATTAACTGCCAGATTAGTTCAGAAACAATTAAATTAACTGTCAGAATAGTTCACCAACAATTAAATTACCTGACAGAACAGTTCACCAACAATTAAATTACCTGACAGAATAGTTCACCAACAATTAAATTACCTGACAAAATGGTTCACCAACAATTAAACTACCTGACAGTATGGTTCATCAACAATTTAATTCCCTGTCAGCATGGCATAGCAAAAATTACATACATTGACAATCATTACGGTTCAAAAACAATCACTTACATGTCCGGTGACTACTACACACAGTAATAGACAGTAAAGTAATTAATATGAAAGTTCCCTGCACCGTTCCAGCAAATCTAGTGAAAACTTTAGTTATAATAGTAAGATTCAAGCATTGGGCTATAATTGAATAGTACTCTGGTAACTGTACATTGTGATATGCGTGTCCCTACGGTATTGTTTACCTTCGTTTTCAGTTGTTCTTTAGTTCAGTTATTGGTGTTATAATATCCAGGTGGTGCGGTACTAAGTCCTGCAGGAGGTCGGTTCCAGGCCTTGGTCCCACGTACGACCTCTACACACCCCAAATAAACTACCAATAAATATCGACACCACTGTACTCATGTCGATATACTAGTGCGGTCAGGAACAACGCTGAGTATTGTTAGTTATAGCCTCCGTTTATAACAAATGTTAGTGAGCACAGTAGTAGTAATCGGTGTATCTCGGTGTTTACCAAAAACAAAACGAATGTTTGAATATTTATTTTTACTTGTACATGCACGTGTTCAATCATTGTAGAGTACATAATCTGCGGACATTTCAAGAGTCATAAATGCAGAAAGTCTACGTTTGTAAATTCAATGAGGGCAAAATTATTTGAAGTTATTGAATTTGGTCATGCGGTACACAGTATCTTTGACTATTAATACAACAACTGTATCCAATAGTCAATGACAGTATGGTAAAATTATAACATATAGAAAATTTTGATATTTTAAATTTACATTATTACAACACAAGCAAATATAGTATTTCAGCATTTACAACTTGAATTGTCCAAGAAAACATCATGTGAGGCTTGGATTGTATTAAAAAAATTTTATGAATAAAGTTAAGGCAACGCAAAACAAACTGCCTTGATAAAGCCTACCGAACCCATTTTGGTCGAAAATGTAGATGGGGTTTTTTGCCGTATTTGCGCGCCCTTGTTAATTTACAACGCACACATGTTATGATACAGACCAATCAGCTGATCGCTACATGTCTCAGCCTGTAGGCTCCAGTTGACATTGTCAGCGAAAGTCGCACAACCTCTGTACAAGGTCCAGCTGCTTTCTGTCCTCAGCACACCTGTATCAGTGTCTGGGGGTGTACTGTACACAGGACACATGTTATGATACAGACCAATCAGCTGATCGCTACATGTCTCAGCCTGTAGGCTCCAGTTGACATTGTCAGCGAAAGTCGCACAACCTCTGTACAAGGTCCGGCTGCTTTCTGTCCCAGTAGTGTCTGGGGGTTTGCTAGGTCTGTGTGTTGGATGCTGATTATTTTAAAACTAACGTAAATAAAACTACTTCAAGTGTTATTATTTCTCCAAGCCGTTCCCAGTGGAAATTAACTCATAATGGTTTGAGGCTTTGTAAATTTTACGAACTCATTTCATTCGTTTAAGGATTTAATACATTTATACACGGTAGTTTAAACCAGCGAAACACACAGTACACGACTGTAGTTCTCTTAGAACCCCTGACAAGTAATTCACAAAAAGCAACATCCTATTGAGTATTGCGAACGGTATAGTCCTCATTAGGTTTCGATGCTCATCGGTCGACGCAGTTGAGCAAAACTGTTTCATTGCATTTGCAAATTTTGATAAAAACTATTCCAAAATTCACACACTTACATGAACGTGAATTAATACAACTCACAAGCAAACCAAAAACGAATGCCAATTCCCAATCAAATCTCGAGGGATTTTTTCCATTCCTAACCGTTTGATTTATATGCTAAATAATCGTTTGACACGCAAATAACCACAGATTTCAATACTCGTTTGACTGTCTGTAGTCTGGTAGCTTGGTATCCTTGGCGAAGGCCACTCCCATGAGTTACTGACATGCGTTCAGCGTTGTTTATTTACTGTCACTGAGCCGTTACATTTCACGTCAGCTTAGCGCCGCCGCTGTCCTGGCTGTCACAGCCGATACTTCATTCAGTTTTTGTTGCTTGTTAATGTTGTAATTGGCTAGTGTGAATGACAAGTAGTGGAAAGTGTGAATTGGCAATGTTTACATGTTTAAACTTGTAAATCCCTGTGAAAGCATTCGTTTAGTTATTTGAAATATGCTTCAGAGGGTAGTGTTTTTGACTGGGTGGTGGTTTAACCACTAACCAGTGATAGTAAAACTGAAGCTAGAGCTACGGCTGTATAAGGCACCGATATTTTTTTGGATGGCGTTTCTAAGAAAATTTTAATTTCACGTAAGGTTTGTACATTGGTAGTAAACGAACGTTTACTGGATGTAATTTGTAAACGTGAAAGATATTTCAGACAAAATGTTGAGATAATACCCAGTGGTAATTTCAGGAGTATTATTTTAGGTATCAATCGTATTTTAATGTGGTTGAAAGTACAATTTTGATGTGTTTCTGAATGTTACAGCGTCGCTGACGGTGATGACGACGGGCTGCTGGCTCGGCTGGCCATCGCCCTCCATCAGGAAGCTGGAGTTCAACGAGACCAGCATCAGAGTGAACCAAGACCAGATCTCCTGGATAGTGGCAGCCATGGACGCCGGCAACGTCGTCAGCTCCATCCCCGCCGGCTACCTCATGGACCTGGTGGGCCGCCGCGTCGTCATCCTCTTCTCAGGCGCCCTCTTCTTCTTCACCTGGATGCTGGTGGGTCTGGCGACAACTCCCGCCATGCTGTACATCGCCAGGTTTTTGGCGGGGTTCGGCAAAGGTATAACGTTCACGGTAGTACCCATGTATCTGGGAGAGATAGCAAGTGTACCGATCCGCGGCGCGTTGAGTACAGTGTTCGCGGGGCTCTTGTGGAGCGGGACAATGTTCGAGTTCGCTATCGGTCCCTACGTCAGTTTCGAAGTCTTGGCCGTTTTGTCTGCGATCATCCCAGTTTTATTCTTCAGTTCCTTCCTATTCATGCCGGATTCCCCTTACTATTTACTTATGCGGGGTAAAGAAGACGAAGCACGTCATTCTCTCCGATGGTTGAGGAAGCAACCACAGGTGAAAAGTCCTGAAAACATCGTACCCTGCCTGGTCGAGAAGGAGCTGAAGGAGATAAAAACCGCCGTCGAGGAGGATTTACAACACAAAGCCAAGTTTTACGATCTACTATCTACTCCGGCGAGTCGGAGAGCCACATTCATTGTGCTGGTAATCTCGGCGTTCCAGAGGCTGTGTGGGATCAGCCCTCTTCTAGCGTACTCCAGCACCACTCTGCCGACACACGACGGCCTCATAGGTCCTGCCGAGGTCATCATCGTGTTCGGCTGCATCCTCACCGTCTCCAACTTCATCGCCACCCCCCTGGTGGACCGGCTGGGGCGGAGACCTCTACTGCTCTTCTCCGGCGCCGGGTGCGGCGTCCTCACCGGCATCAGCGGCGTCTACTACTACCTCGACAGAGAGACAGAGGTCGACATGTCCTCCTACATCTGGGTCCCGTACGTCTGTCTGCTCGGGTTCGGCGTCACCCACTCCATGGGCATCGGCGTCATCCCCCACACCCTGCTGGCCGAGCTGTTCCCCACCAACGTCAAGAGCTTCGCCGCCGCCATCGCCTCCATCATGTTCGCCCTGGCCTCCTTCCTCGTCAACAAGCTCTACACCACGGTAGACGACACCATCGGACTGTACGCAAACTTTGCCTTCTTCTCCGTCAACGGGTTCCTCTGCACACTGTTCACCTACTTGTTCATTTTCGAGACAAAAGGAAAGTCTTTCGTCGAGATCCAGCGCTTCTTGAGGAGAAGTCCGTCAATCTATGAACTCAAACCAATGTCGAAATAAACCTCTCGTGTCCTCAAGCAATATTTATGTGATAAATTATTGTTAGGTCTAAGTATTAACACTCGCATCTAAAAATAATTCTGATTTGTTTAGAGTTATTTATTGCTGTTGTAGCTCCTATTTTTAAACTGTAAAATTATTCGTTAAGTTATTTCAACTCTGTTGTTGTGTATATTTTATTTATTTATTTATGAGTTATTAAAATTGTTTTTTTCTATTATGGTTTATAGTTGTGATTCTTCATTTTAGATTCTTTGGAGTTTTCCAATTTATTATATATTTTAGTTCAAATAGAACAAAATCTCTCTGAACGTAATTGACCACACAACTTAATAAGGTACATTTGCAGTATTACTATAAAAAGATAAACCACCATTCTTTAAATGTGGATTTAACTTCCACACGTTAATTTTCTTTTCTAAATTCAATATAACAACGGAAAAAGTAAAACATTTATCGCATAACATTCAAGCAATGGATATCAAGATAGACATGTGATAGATATAAGGAGCTTACAAAACCAAGGATTCGTTGATATTTATATTTACTCAACTGAACACAACAGATTTCTCGAATGATTTTTTTAAGGAATTAGATAGAATATAAAAATAACTCATATTTACAACTAGCACATATTTTCTTGGGTTTTTTTTTCAATTCTAGATACGAGTTTTGATTTAATTTCCGAAATGTGTGGGAACTTTCAATAAGTGTGGTAAGGATTCCAATGTATACGGTATAATTTACGATGACATCTAGGACAGCGCCGTCCCCAGTGTCTGAACCTCTACATTCATCACCAGTAACTGAAGCTGTGCAGTCTAATTAATACAAGGTCCCTAATCAATTGACCGCTCCACTAAACGCCCCCTGCGGACTACCCCACCACCACCACTACAGTGTGAAGTATGGAATAGTTGTGCATTCAATGCTTTTGTGACTTTTTTATAAATTTTACAAATGTTTATAACTATTATTTTGCTACTTTTTAAACTAAAACGGCAAGAAAATTTGCATGGTGTACAACGTTGTTGAAAATCTAAATGTATTTATTAATAGCAGTAAAAATGCGATAATGAGTATTTGGAGTTCAAAATTTTAAAGCTTTACGAATGGTTTGTCGAACTAACATAAATTAACTACAGTAACAAGGGTACATGCCATGGATTCATGTTAAAAAGAAATTTAAAAAATTAAATTTCTGTAATTGGACTATTTGGAACCATTTGGTATGTAAATGTTTATGAAGACAGTATACCCTGGACGCAACGATTACGAAATTTTAAACAAAGCAAAACACAATAAAAACTTACAGCGATTTAAAATTAGTATTGTTTATCATATATGAACAATTAAATTCAATTAAGCGATGAAGTCAAATCTAGTAAGTCAAACTATTAAGGTGTAAAAGCTGTAGAATGTTTCAAATTAGGAAATAACGAGGTGTTAGCCCGTCCTACGTACGGGAATTCAGTAGTCAGTTAAAACCGTGTACAGCTAGTTTACAGTCAGATCAGCTAGTTTACACATATAAAGACAACGTTTCTTGCAGTTTTCATGTGAAAAATCCTCTTGTAAACAAATGTTGTGTGACCAAATATGTTTTTATTCCATCATAGGCCTATACGATATGCATTTTAAATCCGATAATTTTACAATAAAACAGCAATTCTGCAATTTTCAGACGCACACTGATTATAAGTAGCCTACAGTAGAGAGAGTAATAGCGTATAGACCTAGTCAACGATACCACCTTCCATAGCATACCTGCCTCTTCCATAATTATTATCACCACAATACAACTACTATACACAATTTCCAGTAGGTCTGAATAGAAACGACCTAAAATAAAACGATAATATCCAATAAAATTCATAGTACACATAATTTAACTTTGGTGTCCTAACATCAAAACGAATCGTCACACCTATCCTTTATATCAATTTCACTGCATTTATTGCTAAATAAATAAGTGTAAACAAAGAAAAGTAAAAACAATAACAGTTTGTTTTGAAACAGCTGTTTGGTTCAAATAACATTCATTTGAAAAAAAGAACTGGTCACATCACATGTAGCAGGAATATAAAAAGTAAACACGCTAGTAAAGCTAATGACGTAATTGTCAATGTTTATTATCCATACCGTTATCAGTTCTATCCTTGATAATTACGCACTCTCATTGAATAAATGTACATCGTAATTTCCCATATTAGTTAATTTAAACTACAATATATTCATAGTTGAAATAAGTGATATTTTCACGTTTGGGGGCGCTGATATAGGCACCTCCAAACGTAACCACAACTGAACACGATTTCATAAAAGGATGGTTTGTCTAATTGCAGTATCCTAGGTCAATGTTGACGTTGTGTTCAATCTATGTCATCCATCTGTTTATCTTTGTATAAAACCCAGCTGAGGTTGTGGTGGTAATTTAAAATCGCGATTCCTGATTATTTTTGATCTTCTTTTATGACATCAATATTTCCGGGCTTAATCCAAACAAAGTTAAAGCAGACAAACATTAATTGTAATCAGAAAGCTACCATGAAGAATTAAAATATGTAAACATTGTTATTTTTCTAATCTTTCCTAGAAAAGTGGAGCAGTAAAATAATTTGCATTTATCCTTTTTTATTAAGACTCGTGTACAGAGCCTCGATTTGTACTGTGGTCTAATTAATTTTGGTCTAAACTATTTTAAACTGTGGTATAATTATCTCTACTTATCTTACTTATTTCCTATAATCAATGACAAAATAAGAGTAAATAAAATAACCTCATAGTTCCATAGTTTTTATTTTACCAGCTGTTAAAACAAATTATATTGCTCTAAAACAAATCGAAGATTACAAAGATTGCTTTAAAAAATAATTTGAACATCCTAGTATTTTACTATGTATATTTAATTAATCTTTCATCCTCTTACAGAAGAATTGAACGTATCAATGATTAGCATTACACATAGTATAAATAAGTCAACCCTAAGTATGTCTTTACATTTTTATCCAAATGCTGAATTTCTGACACAAAAGCTGAATGTTTACAGCTGTTATGTTAAGCAAATTATTTTATGCCAAAAATTGTTTAGAATCTTAGCGTCGGCTGCTAGACTTTTTAAAAATTAAAACTTAATTTCCAAAAACTGGGACCCTAAACTAAAATTATGGCTTCGACATTACCTAGTTCTTAAAATTATCTTTCTTTCAACACAAAAATCATGAAAATCCGTCAAGTGGTTGATTCAGAATCGTGAAATAAAAAAACACTGTTTCGTTTTAATATTATAGATTTACAATAACACCTTTAGCCTTTGTCCTTTGTAAGATTTACACTCGGGCGGCTGGTATGTGTCTAGCCTTTGGCGCTACGCTGCAATGAAATGCTTCACTTGCCTTTGTGAGATTCTAAAGCAGTGTTGTTTGTTAGCAAAATATTTTATAAATTTGCTTATAATATGTTTGTTACACGTATGTATTTCAAACTATTACTTGCACGTTTGTTTCGCATCAAAATCTTTGTCTTTTGAAGATAGTGTTTACAGACTGTAATGTATGAAGCCCACGGCGTCATGGAGAATAGGATACAACAGTGAGATGCTTTACATACCTTTGTAATCTCGCTTGGATGTTTGTAAGTATTAAAGTGTGACCGATCATCTTTGTTCATGTGTGAGATGCAAATTTGACCCATTGCACAGATTTTTGTATGAAAAAAATACGATTTTGAAATTGACACGGCCATTGAGCATAAACTACTATATTATATTGCTATTTCTTAATATAAAGTTACAAGGATGAAAAACTGGTAAAATAATAACTAGAGTAAACACAATGAAACTTCAAGCATATACCTCACAATAATCTACCTAACACTGTGCACGATAAGTCCAAAATAAGGGCAAAAAGAATGAAAGTAACTTACGTAACATAATCGTCCATCGTCTTACCTGAAACATCAAACATTTCTATAAAATATATAAATACTTTTACAAACAATGCACAGAATTTTAATCACAGTGCCATGTTACGGAATGATCTCCTATTGCAATTGATTTTAAGCTAATAGTTGTAGGTAGCAAGACAAATACACAAACAGTGTTTACGTTATTTCTGTCCCAGTTTACGTTGTTTTGACACTGATTACGTCATGATCACGCAGATGAAGCCGTTGTGTTGAACATTTCACGTGAACTGCTGTCAGTCGGTTGGACGTCGTCAACTGGTATATATACACACACACACACACACACATATATATATATATATATATATATATATATATGTATATATATATACATTATATACACATAAATACACAGGACACACACAGATTGTGCACATAAATACAATACACTTCAAAAATGTTCTCGTCGACTGTATCGGGCCTGTATTTAATTATACAGTTTTGTCGCTTCGTTTGTGTATCGCGTATCTTAGTTGTAGAAGCAACAGCTGATTTGGACTGGAACGATAAATAAGGTAAACAAATCACTATGTATACTTACACTAGCTGTACCCGCGGGCTTTGCCCCGTTTAACTTCATAAGTAAGCTCATTCGCATGGCTCAATCACGTCCTGGTTGAATCCTTGTAATTTTAATGCTATTGAACATCATCGAACAGAACCAACTTGTTTAATTGAAACAGCTGTTAAGATTCATTAATTCCATTTAAATATGAGTACTCATTAGGTTAACATGGGAAACTCCAGAGCCACTGGGGCGGAGCCCGAGAGTCCGATCAGAATAAAAACCACTTAGTTTTCCTATTTAATGCCTAAAGAATCAGTGTACCAAATGTCAGCCTCCTAGGTAAGTGGGAAGTGGGAGAATTAGTGATGAGTGAGTGAGTCAGTCAGTCAGTCAGTCAGTGAGGGCTTTGCCTTTTATATATATACATAGATTATTAGTTACAAGGAAATAATTGTCGACCTAAAGAAATAAATGATTGATTTGGTCATAGATAATGAGACTACACAGTTGGATTAGTTGTACTGTACAATACAAACTAGGTGACTACCAAGAGTGTATATTCCGATATTTATTTTCTTTTAGCACACATAACACCAAATCATACTAAACTATTACGTCAAACTAAACAACAATATTTATGTTCGAAAGTCAACGACTTTGCAGCTCATTCAAAAAAGACGGTGAACAGCTTTATACATAAGTTTAGAAACTCTAC